TGTTTACATTATGAGGCCCCTCAGCACCAAGGCGCATATTTGCGTACGCTCGGCACCCATCTCTTCTCAACCTCATTACATGCCAAGAATCCTATCCAGAGGTGAAATGCCAGTCCACATGACCTCTGGGGGTCCATTATAGCCACCTAGGGCAGCTTTTCTCAATTTTTTTAAACATGAAGGAACCCTTGAAATAACTTTCCAGCTTCAGGATGCCCCTACTAATAATTATTATATCTACAGCTCACAATACATTAGCGTGATGGTTAGCAGTAAGAATGCCCCTTACATTTGTGGTCATTGGGAAAAATTACCTCTTACAGATAGATAAAAAGATCAGTGGTATCAGTGGTTACTTGAGAGAGAGAAATTGCCCATTGCTAAAGGACCCTTAGCATCCTCTGGAGGAACTCTAGGGTTCCATGGAACCCTGGTTGAGAAAGGCTGCTCATGGGGGTAAGGGGGTGCTACATATACTGTACATTTTAAGACCACACAAAGGCCGTAGCACTTGTGGAAGAAGTATAGTGCATGTATACCAGGGGCGGACTGACAACTCATGGGCCCCCTGGGCAATAGGGGATCATGGGGCCCCTGTGTCCTTGCCCACACTCAAAGCACACCCAAAAAAGCCTATAAAAAGGTACCAGGGGTATTTCATGGGGCCCCCTACTGACCCTGGGCCCTTGGGCGGTGCCTGAGTGCTCAAATGGTCAGTCCACCCATGATGTATACAGAATATGGAAGGATTTTGGATTAAAATACAAAAGGTCAAATATTAATGCTTAGCAACATGTCAGTTTTGCTTGATATGACTCACTCCTCTGTCTGCAAGTTGCTATGATATTGGTGAACATAATATTATTCTCTTGATAAATAGACAGTTATGAATTACAAGACTGCACTGGTTACAGTATGCATATCCTCCGGGCATGACCAGTGTTGTTTTAATAGACTTTTTTTCTTTCATAAAATCACTAACACGTCCCAACAATAGCATGGCGCAGGAGCTCGTCTGAGCAGAAGTGCATAATAAAAAAAACAAATGATCTGTACAGGAAACAAGGTGGTTTTATCATTTCTCACCTTCCTTTGCTGAAAACATGCCATAACTTTGTGTTTCACATCACAGTTTTTGAACAGCATCTTGGCAAATGCATAGGGTACGTGACTGTATTTTATGAATACTGTAACTGCATCCAAACTTTCCAGATTCATTACTTTTTAGGCAAATTACATCCTTCCAAACTGGCCAATAGTAATGGGACGAATACCCCCCTATTTGGTTCGCGGTCAAACATTCAAACCTAACGAAAGTTCGACTGCGAACTTCAAACAGAGGGGACAATTCACTAAGCGGCATCTTCCTGCATCTGAGTGTTAAGATCAGGGTTGGACTGACCATTCAGTCACTCGGGCACTGCCCGAGGGCCCGGGGTCAGTAGGGGGCCCCATGAGATGCCCCTGGTACCTTTTTTATAGGCTATTTTGAGTGCAGGCAAGGACACAGGGGCCCCATGATCCCCTATTGCCCGGGGGCCCCATGAGTTGTCAGTCCACCCCTGGTTAAGATACCGTACAGCTAGTAAAATGCCACATGAGTTATATTATCAAATCATGTAGTATTTTAGTTGTGAAAACATTCTTTCATGTTTCAGCTGTCAGCGGGGTTCCCTGCTGACAGCTGGATGTAAGGAGAAGTTCCTGCATTGCCCGGCAATTAAAAAGCATTTTTTTAAAACCGTGTGGGGTCCCCCCCATCCATACCAAGCCCTTAAGGTCTTGAGGTTAAGGTATGGACTTTGAGGGGAACCCCCCACGCCAAACTTTTTTAATGACATGGGGGTCCCCCCCAAAAATCCATACCAGAACTTTATCTGAGCATACAGCCTGGCAGATCAGGAAAGGGGGGGGGTGAGCGAGTGCCCCCCCCCTCCTGAACCATACCAGGCCACATGCCCTCAACATGGGGGGTGCTTTGGGGCAGGCCCCCCCCCCAAGCACCTTGTCCCCATGTTGATGGGGACAAGGGTCTCTTCCCCACAACCGTTGCCGGTGGTTGTGGGGGGTCTGCAGGTAGGGGTCTTATTGGAATCTGGAATCCCTCTTTAACAAGGGGCCCCCCAGATCCCACCCCCCCATGTGAATGAATATGGGGTACATGGTACTGCTACTCATTCACAAAAAAAAAAGTAGTGTAAAAATGACAGAACACAGTCTTTGACAAGTCCTATATTAAAAACAAAAATTTAAAAAATGTCCCCTGAAGTAGATCCAACGTCAATGACAATGCAATGGCCTACCCGAAAAAAGAAAAAAAAAAAGTTTCACTCTCAACGCTGGCTCCTGCTGTCTGACAGCTGTGCCACGATGACAGTTCTTAAATACTGTGATGACATCACAAAGGGGTGGGGTCAGCCTTGCCCCATGTGACATCATCATGCACTGTGACTGGCCAAAGCATTGCACCTGACCTGGACCCAATCATCAATATCAATTAGATTATTTTATATATTTAGAATAGCTTTTATGAACTATTTCCCTTAAAAAATAACTCCAGTTTACAACAGCAAAGCAACATACAGTACACTTGCATAACTAGGCTATATACAGCATATGTGCAAATTTACTGTAGGAATGTTTGTGGCTGCTGGGATCTGTCCTCCATATAAGTTCTCTAGCAAACCCAACAACCAAAATCATTTGTTGTCAGCATTTGAGTCATAACTAAGAATAGGGACTTTTATGTATACAGATCACCCATTGAGAACAAAAAAAAACATGACACATTACCAAGAGAAAAGAGGACGGGATACAAAGAGAAGGAAAAGAGGAGGAGAATGAACTCCTCACATGAAAGAAGAGTAAACGGGATTTTAAAGGTGCCATAAATAATAGGACAACAATATAAACTAAAACTTACAACATTTATTGTTAAATCAATAATAAAAATCTAATTAAAAGAAATAAATTTGAGTATCCCAACATTAAAGGTAATACTTGTTCAGAGACATGTATCCGGTGCAATATTTCTCAACATGTTTTGCCTATTTCAGGCTTCTTCAGGAGACATTTAATATAACACCTACAAGGAACAAATTCATGTTGATTACACATTATACCAACAGATTAGATACCCTGAGTACATATGTAAAGAAATAAAGCAAATTTAAATCACTACAAATCATATGTGATATACATCACACAAATATTTAAAAAAATTAATGAAGGGCAGCTTACCAAATAGTTCATATATGACTCAAATGGACAAGTAGTATGCAGAATAATTATAGTGCAATTTGATGGGACCCAAAATCCTCAAAGAGGCCCCGACAGAATGGAGTTTCAGATGGTTGGTAATGGGGCACAAGAGCTAAATATAAGGGTAAAAAAGCATCAACAGCCACTGAAAGTTTCCTACATGAAAAAAAATACTCTAGAGATGAAGTAAAAAGAAATATACCTTTAAGGAATAGGATAGACACCACTGTTTGTATACTCAGCATACACGATTATTATCGTCACGTTACATTGTGTTACATCGAAAAAAACAAAAAACACAGGTCCCAAATTGGGCACTGAAATATAAACGTAGAGTACAGTAAAAAAGGGGCCACTGTCACTGCAATTGGCATAGTGCACATGATGTGTGCATATAATGTAAATTCTAAGCTTACCTCTGTCAAAACAATTTGGATCATTAAGGGGAAGGTGGCAACAACTAAATGCTCATTAGGCACAAGACCAATCCTCAAACAAGGAAACGCATGCTATTAAATAAAGATAACAAAAGATTAGTAATAACTATTGAGAGACCATAAGTACAGAACATCAGCCGCAAGCTCCAAAATGTATCTACAAAGTCTCACCAATGTTGCACCAGCACCACAGACACCACCTCCCCATCAGCCAACAAAACTTTGGAGCCAAACCAGCTCATTTATATGTGAGCCCCTCCCACCGTGTCCGACATTGATGACGTCATGATGCCGATGACGTCATTATGTGGCCCGGACTTAGGGTGTCACTTCTGCTCACTATCTGCACAGCGCCAACCAACATGGCTGCACCGCAATGGGAAACACAGTAACCACATCTTACCGCCACACAGGGAAAAATACACAAACAATCAGCAGCATCACACTGATTGCCAAATACTGCCTCAACTTAGCTTAAAGCTCTTAACACAGTTGAAGTGCCATCTATAGGACAATTGACAAATAGAAGTACTAATAAATACCTGCAAATTTGTGTTACACATGAAAGGCAGAGTAAACTTCCTATAAACAATTTGTTCAATCATTCAAGCATCATATGGCCAGGCTGAAAAACAATTTATAAGGTACTTATCAATCACTGTTCAATTTCACATATTAAATGGGAGAGGAAAAAATGGGAGAGGTCACCAGGACATAGGAAATTCATTATAAGAACAAAGGTTTGTGGACATCTGACCATGACACCTGCTATATGGCCAAAAGCACGAGAACACCCCTGTATATTATTAAGTTTGAGTCTTTCCAGTGAAAGGTGCTGTTAATGCTACAACATGGAAATTTTAAATAATTGTGCCTTTTTTTAAACAATTTAGGGAAAGCTCTCCATTATGACTGTTCCATGTGCACAAAGCCAGCACCATAAAGACATGGTTTAATGAGTTTGGTGTTAAGGAACTCAAGTGGCCTGCACAGAGTTCTGACCTCAACCCTACTGAACATCAGTGAAATGAATTGGAATGCCAGTTGCAAGCCATATCTTCTTGACCAACATCAAAACCTGACCTTACAAATGCTCTTTTTCCTGAATGGGTCCAAATGCCAATGGTTTTGGAATGAGATGTCTAACAAACTCATGGAGCTGTGATGGTCGGGGTCCACAAAATTGTGACCATATAGGGAACATATTCTCAAAAATGGGAAAAGAACATACATTAAACTAATCTGAGGAACCAGAAAATACACAGCAAATACAATACAGATAAATTCATGAAACCGGTGCTTCATGCATATTTTAACTCAATTCTCTTTTTTTCTTCAGCTCTTCTACCAATCCCCTTAATAATCCTAGAAGACAAGGTCGAGCTGAAAGAAGAAACGAAGGTGAGCTGCGTGTTACCATCCAGTGACTGCCACTGCTTAGAGGTGGAGCTAAAAATCATCACTAAAGAGAAGCTCAAGAACTGTGTCTCCCATAAGGGGAACTACGCCAATGTCACCTGCACACTGGATGTCACCAAGGAGATGAATGGGATGGAGCTATCCTGTGAAGCTCACTTCAAAACAAAGAGCAAGCCTTATAAGCTGAACATTCAGAGTAAGTATGGAACTTTAAAATTAACCACTCAGTACACCAAGAAATGGCACGTGTCTTCCATTTTTCCTACCTAAATATGGGAGTAGGTGGCATGCTAGTTGCTAACCAAAAGCACAGAGTGTTGGACTTGTGTAAAGGGCCAATGGAATGATGAGCATTGCCTGTACCCTTAGAGGAGGAGTTCCAATCCCCCTTGGAGGTTGGATAATTGGCTTCTGCAACCACTGGATTTGTAGATGCATGCATGGGGCACTAGGCTCAGCAATAGCAGATCCTCTTGTGGGCCTTCAGGCGTTGAACAGTGGATCATGCCTAACATACACTCTCTACTGTCCTTACTCAATGAGGCCCAGTGTTTCAAATGATTGATCACCTGCACCCTAAAGACTTGTTGTTTTGTGGCACTGTGGTTTATTGTTCCTGAAGTTGGCAGCCATTAAATGTTGTATCTGGACTTGTTCTGTATTTTGATTCTTCAAGTAAGAACTACAATTCTTGTTACGAGGTTCCCATATTGTCACTGTATAACATCAAGCGTTGGCACAGTATTTGAACCCCCATGCACATGACTGTGCACATATCCATTAGCACATCAGCTCAGTGGTTGGTTATTGCTAGCGATGAGTGGAATGATTCTGGTAAAATTGATTTCACAGTGAAATTACCAGTTACAAATCTTGCTATACTGTATGTTCTTTACATTTGTGTTTTGTGTGTGTATTAGATTTTTATTTGTGTAATTTTTAAAGTAACTGTAAAAACACAGAGGAGCATGCAAACATCTAGTGCATTACCACCTCCACCACCACTTTTTATTATATAGAAAAGTCCCTCAAAACGTGTCAGCTTACCTACTTGCACATTCATGGTCAGATGACAGTGCCCCATGGCTAGAGCTGTTATTTGATATGTCTGTTCCATTTTATGTTTCTGAGTATGTTTTTGACCTTTCTATATAATAAAAAGTGGTGGTGGTAATGCTGTTAGAAACCATGGGGCCCCGTACATTCAACCTGACAGGGCCCCCTCGAAAAAACCCAACCCAAAAAAAACACAGTTTACTATGCTTCAGTTGTGAATGATTGGTACTGATCACTCATTTTGTTCATTCAAGAGAGGAAGGGACTGGTAAATGTGGCATATTTACCCTTCCTCCACTCTCCATCCAGGGGGCCTGGGCAGCAGAGGGATACATATGATGCAGAGGGTGATGGGTGCGGCAGGGATGGGGGGGGATTACTGGATCCAATCCCATTTATGTGGGGTGGGGGGATTTACTGGTACCAACCCCATTTATGTCTCTCTCTGCAGTAGATGAAAGCAAGTGGGAGGGAGAGGAGAAGAAGCCAGCTTTCAGCTGCTGCAGAGAGCCATTCAGGGGATTGGTTCCAGTAATTGCCCCCACCCAGGGGCGGACTGACAACTCATGGGGCCCCCAGGCAATAGGGGATCATGGGGCCCCTGTGTCCTTGCCCAAACTCAAAAAAGCCTATGAAAAAGGTACCAGGGGCATCTCATGGGGCCCCCTACTGACCGCAGGCCCTCGGGCAGTGCTCGAGTTTCCAAATGGTCAGTCCGCCCCTGCCCCCACCATGCCAATCACCCTTCCAGCCCACAAATCTGATTCACCAAGCTGCCTGGGCCCCTCTGCTGGCCTGGGCCCCATACAGGAGGACTGGTGGTACCCCCTTATCCACGGCCCTGGTGGTAATGCACTAGGTGTTTGTGCCCTCCTGTGTGTTTTTACAATTCCTTTTAAGATTTCCCTGTCTGAGGGCGGCATCGTGCGAAGCTTTACCAGCCGTGACACCTTCGGATGTACTATGATTTAAGCGCTGGAGTGTTTGAATTCTTTTGTCATTTTTATTTTTAGATTTTTTTTGGCTCAGTTTTTTTTCTTACTGTGAAAAACGTTTTGAGGCTAATACAGCCATTTCTTTGCAGATCTGGGATAGATGACAGGAGCTTCTGTAATCATTAGGAGCCATATACAGTCTACTGCACCCTTAAAACTCACGAAAAACACCTTCAATTTGATTTTCCAAAGAAGATTGCAGAAAAATGCTAAACGTTCACCCAAACATCTCAGGATAATGAGAACTCTGAATTCAGCTTATCCCTAGTTAGTGCCTGCAGTAGAACTCAGTATAATCTCCGGTGAGGATGTTCTACAAATTCTATTTGTTGACCAGATTTTCTCCTACTTATAAACTTCTGCCACCTATCTTGACTTCTTAGCTGTTTTCAGAATATTCTTTGAATTGCTTCTTGCCCTGAGGCTTTGATCATGTTTTTTCTCTGGTTTCTGCCCTCAGTTTAACCAATGAGCACTACTGCAGTAGAAAATCAATGGCTTTGGCTCCTTTTATTCACATTTTCAACATCATTTTAAACTGCATGGTGTCAGAATGTCTTTATTTAGCTATATGTCTGGACATTTAGATCATTATCTAAATTGGTGATGCAGAATGGCATAGGACTGGGGGGGTCACACAGGTGATAGCTTTTACTGGGACTCTGTTTTTAGGAATGAATATGGTGGGCAGCTGGCTAAACATCTCTAATATGTGCCATCTTCTCCAGATCAAAAGGACACATATACAACTTTCCTCTATGGCAGCAAGTGTAATGTGCGCTCTGAATGGCACACAACCAGGGGCAGACTGACCATTGGAGAACTCGGGCACTGCCCGAGGGCCCAGGGTTAGTAGGGGGCCCCATGACATAGGGAACCCATAATCCCCTATTGCCCGGGGGCCCCATGAGTTGTCAGTCCGCCCCTGCACACAACTGTCAATAATAGGGTGAGAGTAAAGGTGGGAATTCACGATTAGAAAATCAACCGATCGGTCATCCGACAACCGAGAGGCATTCATTGGTTGGCCGAAATCGTGGCCCACATTAACCAATCTAAAAAAATTGTTCGTTTGGCAATACGTAGTATTGACGTCTTCCGTACAAGTGGAAGTGATGCGGTGTGCGTGTGACCTTGTAGCCACGCCCTTCCGGGCAGAACGAGTGATATACACAACAATGACCAGCAATGAGTATAATATCGTTTATCACATGACCTATATACATAAATAGTGATACATAAAATATAATCTGCACAATTCTGGTTTCATTATCTCATTAGGACAATCTACTTTTAACATTTGGATTTTTCGTTCATGTTTACGAAGATTCCTTGGACATAAACATCCGGGTCATCTTCTGTCTCCGCTCATGCGTGATAGCGCTTGATAGATTTTTTTCGTACAACGTCATACCACCGCATAGAAAATCGGTCGTTTGTATGCTAATCGACTACATTTTTCACTGTCGTTCAACCGGATTTTTTCGTTCACAATATCGTTATCTGTTAAAACATCCTGCTCATCAACGAAGAGAAAATCGTTGGATTAGTGGTTCTGTGAAATTTTTAATACGATTTTCTTATCGTGTGTACGGGGCATAAGGCTCCATGCACACATCATTTATTTAAGCTCCTAGAAGCTGCAAGTAGCATATTTTTCTGCTCCTAGAAGCTAAATAGTATTATCCTATGTGTCCATGCACACTACTTTAGGCTATTAGCATTTTTTGAGCTTCAGTGTCTAGGAGCAGAAAAAAAATAGTTTTTTGGAGCATTTTTCCAGCAGAAAGAAATGCTAAACGCTCATAAATACTCCTAAACGCTACTTAATGCTACTAAACGCTACTAAAACACTTCTAACAGATTTTTTTCTATACATGTACTGTAAAAATACTACTAAAATGCTAACGCTACAAAAACGCTACTAAAAAAGGCTATTACTAGTGTTTTTATCCAGCATTTTTTCCTGCATTTTTGAGCTTAAAAACCCGCTAGTGTGAATGGAGCCTAAAAGAACACTGTTCATCTCTAGAAGATGTAAGCTATTAGGATCCAATAGCAAGAGGAAAAATTCAGGGATCTCAGACTAAACATGGCTATACACGTGTAGATTTTCAGATGAGAATATTAGTTCGAAAAGTCGTACGAAAATTCTTTGAACATTTGATGAATGGACGAATGTAGTTCGAAAAATTGTTTTTTTGCTTTTAACATTCGGCTTTAAAATGAATGTGATTTCTGAATGATCACCACATGCACTGGCCGAAAATTAATTTGATCGAGAAAAGTTTTTTTTCCTGCCCTCTCAAATTTTCCTGTCACTGCAATCGCAAACAAACATCGATTTGACCTCACTAATGACTAGAAAATCAAACGAATATTCTTGAAGCAAAAATTCTTGAATGAAAATCTATGCATGTATGGCCAGCTGAAAAAATGCTGCTTCTACAGGAGTTTTGCATTTTGCCGGCAGAAGCAGCACAGTATAGTTTGGTGATTTAGAGAAGCACATCAGTGTCATCCTGTGTGTCCATGCACATTAGGACGATTAGAGGCATATTTTCAGCTCAACGTTTAGAGACAGTTTTGTGATTTTGATTGGAGCCTTCTGGTGGAAAAAAACACTCGATGTCAGTGTTTTTTTCAGCCAAGGGAACTGGCGTTTTTTTTTTAATCCCAGTATGCATGTAGCCTAAAGCCTGGTACACACAATAAGAATAGCGGATGAATGATTGTCCACTTTTCTTTTGAATGCTAGTTTCATATAAAAAACAAATAGGTTACAAGAGTTACGGACATTCTCTTAAAGCGGAGTTCCACCCAAAAGTGGAAGCTGTTGGTTTGCCTCCTCCCCCCCTCAACTGCCATATTTGGCACCTCTTGGGGGTGAGGGGGGAGAAGATACCTGGTTTTGACAAGTACCCGATCCCACTTCCGTCTCAGTTCACCGCAGCAAAGTGAGCTGGAAATTCGCCCCCCCCCCCCTTTTCTCCTGCAGTCTCCTGGGAACCTTTACAGGTCCCAGAAGAATGCCGGACCAATCAGAATGCGCAGCGCGTCTCACGCATGCGCAGTGGGCACCCAGCTGTGAAGCCGCAAGCTGTTACAGCCTGGTGCCTACAGTTGAGATCCCGACGCCGGGTGG